CGTATAAGGTCCACTACAGTAATGAGGCTACAACCATCACGGCATGAGCTGAAGGGTGACACCATTGAGGCCTCAGCCTGGGATAATGCCATTGCAGCATGGGCGGCACGTAAGGCACCACAATCGTTACCACCATCACCACACATGCCAACTACCAATTTATGTGATTGATACCATTTAACGACCGATACTTTATCAGACGGTTTCATCCGAGCGTACACCAGTATATCGTACCAATACTCCTCCAACTCGTCAGGTTGCTCATAGTAGAGATACCTCCACGCCCCACGGGTTACCACTAACTGATGGACTCCTTTCACTGGCGTCATCTCGTCACCTGACTCGGGATCAGACCACACCAGAGATGATCCTCCTTTATCATTGGTAACGATATGAGCAAGTAATACGGGTTTGGTATCATCTATTATACCAACCTCCTTAGATATACCAATGGCAGTCAATGGATTATCACCGGTACACACCACACTGCGAATATCCCCTTCCCGTAGCATACTGATAGCCAATGCACTATCCGGCTTAACCTCATTTTTGAAGAGCAGCAGGGCCAGCAATGTCAACGAGTTCTCAATCTCTGTCCTACTCATAGTCAACACCTCCTCCACCATATCAGCCCCGATCTCCCGCACACCCAATGCCAGTACATACATATTCGATGCCGCAAACGTGTCAGTCAGTTCCGAATAGTCTGCCGGTACGACGTGACATAACTCTCCCATACGCTCATACGATCCCTTCACCAACACCTGGACACGTCCAGTATCACGCTCGCGAACCACACAACCACTGGTCATCCGAACATGATCAAAAGGCAGCAGCCTGAGGACTTCAAGTACGCTACTGCCATCAGGTGAAGTGACAAAGGTATTATCCCCTCCGACAGAGAGAGACCACCCACATTTCTCGAGCATTGCTATCTCAACCTGGTTGCCGACAAGACGATTATCGCGGAGTCGTCTGACTGTGTGACATGCAGCCAAACCATGAATAACGTTTGTAGGAAGTCTGCTCGCGGAGTGATTACCAAAATCGACACGGTTGTCAAAACTGCCTCTCCGGACAGGGATCACCCCAGACAGTTCCATCCCGTCCTTAGTGATAGTGCCGGTCTTATCGAATACCATAATAGAGATCTTACCGGCTACTGGTATCCTCTCAGGTTGAAGGCAGAATA